GCTTCCTGTAATTGTATGGGGATGTCGTTCCTTAATTTCAGGACATTCTCTTCTACAATCCTGTTTAAGATCTGGTCAGTGCCATTAACCTGAAATTCTTCTCCTTCCTCTATGCCTATGATCCTTAGATTTGGTCTTTTCATGGTGTCCCACATCTCTTGCATATTCCTTTCCTGTGTTTTTTTTTTAATTTTCATAATCTTTGCTCGAGTGGTCCAGTTCTTCAACTTTATCCTTCAGTGTTAATATTCTGTTTTCTATTTCATGCATTCTAGTGTAAGGCTTTCCCCTGTTGTTTCAAGTTGGCTTATTGAGTTTTGCACCTCCTTCATTTCTGCCTGAGTTTTCTTCAATGTTTCCATCTCTCTTGTGAATTCATTCAGAAGTTTATCCCCATCTTTTTTTAGTTATTTGATTTGTTTGCATGTGTTCTTTAAATTCGTTGAATTCCTTGATCATGTTTATGATTGTTCTTTTAAATTCAGTGTCCTGGGTTATCTCTAGGGGGTTCTCCTTGTAGAACTCCTCTACAGACTAGTAGAGTTTGGTGGGAACATAGTGTTTCGGCTTTCCGTTTCATTATTCTTTCGTTGTGGTTTTGGCATGTGAATTTCTTTTGTTGTTTACGATTCTGATGTGAGAATTAAGTTGAAGTATGCTTCTGTCTGTATTATCGGGTGCCTAGGTCCTTTCCTTATTGGTTATGTAAACCTGGTAGGTACAGTTTTCAGGTTCTCTCAGGTTTTATTTTGGAGGGAACTAATGGCTTCAGAGCAGTTATTCAGGAGCACCCACAGAAGCCCAAGTCAGGCTCCAGTCAGGTACACGCAGGCTTCTTTCTAAGGTTTGGACACCTATTAGCAGAAACTCAGAGAAAATTTGGGAAATTCCCTAAGCGGGGGAGGGCGATTTTGAGACTCTCAGTTGGTCTGCTGTGTTCTCAACCCCTATGCCTGAGGGAGGCCAGAAGCCAGCACTCTCTGGCAGTGTGCTGAGATCACAGCCACTATACCTATACCCAACTCACCCTCTCGGGTTGTCTGCTAGGATCTCAGCCTTAGCCTACCAAAGCCAGGTCTGGGGGCCTTGGGAGGGGCCTCACAAAATTCCAGGTAGGGGTATGGGTATGGTGCTGTTAGGGGAAGCCCACCACCAGGTGGAGGCAGGATCTGGGCACTCTTAGGCAGTTCCCTGCGTTCTCAGCCCCTATGCCAGGGGGAGGCCAGAACCCAGCCCTCTCTGATGGTCTGCCGCTACACCAACGGAGGTTGGAGGACACCCTTAACTTTACAGTATTCCATGTAAACTTTAGGCTCAAAGACTTCTGTGTATTTCCCACTCCAACATGAATAATTTCCTCTTCTGTGTTTTGTACTGTCAACTGTATTAGCTATTATTTAATGTTAAAAGTATTTAATTTTATGATTTGTTCTTATGTGTGGCGTTGGATCACGAACCTGTATTAAAGCATGTTCCTGTTATGTGGCTTACTCATTGTCCTTTTAAACAGAAAATAGAGAAAAGATCTTCAGGATAAACTTCAAAAGAACAAACTCATTAATTTAATGTCTTAACTTCTGGAGATCAAAATATATCTTTGGTTTTTGGTTATGGCCTGACTTATAATCGGTCTTTGAAATTTTAAAATATTTTAAAGCTAAATATGCCAGCTTTGTTCCTACATTGCAACCAAAATTAATTTTTATCATTTAATTTTAAAACTAGTAGTTTAATTTCACCTAGAACCACACTGTATTTTTAATATACTATTAAGTTTGAGTTCAATTAAGGGGTGGACCTGACATTTAAAGCCTCTCTTTCTTTTATTTTTCAAGACTTAAACATTTTCTGCTACTCAGAGTGAGCTTACTTTTAATTTTTTTAACTGTAGCTTTAGCAGAAACAATTAAAATGCCTAAATATAGCCTTTTCCATTGTAGAGAACAAGCTGAAAAGCTGACTTTAAGTAGCAATGATTGAACTGAAACATTGTGATTGCTTTCACCACACTCCGTGTGTCCTTTGAATGGCTGGAACTGCTCTTCCATACATCAGACAGTGTTCTTTACATGCTTATATTTTATAACGACAAAAAATGCACTATAAAACGTTTTCTTAAAAAGTGTGTTGGGGGGGCCAGTCTTGAGATGTATGGCCCAGTGCTTCCGAGTTCCACTCTTAAGAAGCTCTTTCTATTTCTACAACCTTACCAGGTAACGTTGGTGCAATTCTTTGTCCTGGGACACAGGACCTGGAACTGGAGCTGGTGTCGCCCACCCCCAGAGCCATGCCTGTGATGACTGTGTCCACCTTCCTTTCTTCACCCTCTTTCTCAGTTGTTCTAATGTTCCCTTGTGTCTTTCTCAAACTCACTCACTTGTTCTCCCTTGGGAATGAGACAGGATAGAAAGACGGACAATTATGGAGACATGAGACAGAAAGGAGCCCCTGGTCCAGGAATGTGGTTGAAGCCTTTGGCCAGCAGAGAGAATTCCAACCCAATTAACAGCTGCAGAAGGCTTTTCTCCGTTTCTATCTATAAACCTGCAACTTTCTAGAAAGTACCATAAACTCAGTTTATAGGGAAAGTTCTAAACCCTTTGGACAAGTTAAGATCCTGGTTTTACCATATTAGGTTACAGTTCCATCCGCGGTATCTCTGTAGCCAACCTATAAATTTCATTTATCAAAAGATAGAAAATGAAGGGGGGGAACTTTTAACAATCTTCTAAAATGTAATTTGAGAGTAGCCAAAATGTTATATATGGCTAATCCTGACAATCAATTGTGACTTTCCTTTGGGAAACCCGTACCTATGCTTGGGTAAGGAATTCTCTGTTGGGAAGCTCACACTGATATGTGGGGCATGTCTTTCTCTTAACCTTCAGACTTAAAATCTGTATTAAAATTCCATTAATAAAATCTCCAAATTTGCTTCTTATTGGCTAGTCCTAAAACTCTCTTCTGCACCGAAGCCACAAATTCCAATTTGACCTGAATTGAAGTCTCTAAAAGTTAGGAAATTCCTTTAGGTAGCTAAGGGTGAGAGTGTGGAGTTATGTCTCTGTCCCCACACCACTGATAGGACTAGGTCTGGAACTCACCACGTAGACCAGGCTGGCCTTGATCTCACAGAGATATACCTGCTTCTGCCTCCTGAGTGCTGGGATTAAAGGCATGTGCCACCACACTTGACAAATCTATTCTTTTTTTTTTTTTTTTTGGTTTTTTTGAAACAGGGTCTCCCTGTAGCCCCAGCTGGTCTGGAACTCACTCTGTAGACCAGCCTGGCCTTGAACTCACTGAGATCTGCCTACCTCTGCCTCCCAAGTGCTGGGATTAAAGGCGTGTGCCACCATGCTTGATAAGTCTATTCTTTCTTATCCATACTCTTTTCCTTCAGTGGGTCACACACAGTCAGCTTCTAATCTTTCATCTTACAAATATTTTGGATTTTCTATCACAGGGATCCTAGCCTAATGTTCAAGAGCTCCCTAAAGGCCTAGAGTAGATATCTGGAGGATGGGATGTTAAACATTGATGGAAAAGCAATATTATCATTATTTTTTACTAACCTTTCACCGAAATATAGTATTTTAATTAACTTTGACTATATGCAATAAACCAAAGTAGTGTTGTCACTACTGATCATACTTTGATTTGCAATACAAAATTTGTGTATCATATCATATCACATTAAATTGGTATGGTACCTCAAAAATCTCATTTTAACTCAAACATTTCAAAAGTCTAGTAAGTTTTTTTCCTCATCAGGTGTCAGCTATAATACTTATGACTTCTGTCTGCTTGTTCTCAGATGTGATGTGATGCAGTTACTATATAATTAAACATTTTTTGACTATTTTAATGTATTGGTTTACTCTGTATGTCTGTATATTTTATTTTGTCTGATTATCAGTATTATTCTTAGAAAAATTCTTCCAGCTTCACCAAACTTCCAATGTGATCATAGCACAAAAAATGTTAGACCTTTGGGTCAGGCATTGCAACAAGTACCTTGCCCAAAAGAGACTGCTCCTGTCTATAAGCTCCTGTCTTTATTAACGCTCCTGTCTGTTACCCAGGACAATGACACCAAAAGCCAAGCACTTCTGTATAAAATCCCCAGTTGTGACTTGAATATAAAATGTTGCCCACACAATTGTGTGTTTTTAACACCTCCCCAGATGGTTTGGGGAGGTGGTGGAAACCAGGAAGTGGGACCTAGTTGGAGGAAGGAGGTCATTGGGGAACATGCTTTTGAAGGTTCTGTCTGTCCCCAGTCCCTTCCCCAATCTTGTCATCATGAAGTGATCATCCTCCTCTTCTACCTGCTCCTGCCACTATGATGCTCTGCTCCATCAGGGGCCTACGCTCAACTGGAGCCAAGTGACCCCAGCCTGAAATCTAGTAAACTATAAGCAAAAGAAATTGCTCTCCCCCTTTTTCTGGCAGGCAGTTTGGTCATAGCTATGAGAGGCAACTAATAGACCAGTAAGCTAAGGGATTCTTTTACATCAAAACAAAACCAAAACCAGAACAAGATGGAACAAAACAAAAACGTAATTTTCACAGTAAGAGTGAAAACATGCTACCCTACGCAGGAGTCAGATGACTAGAGCATCCAGCTGAACACAAGTTCAGTTGCTAAACTGGCTTGATAACCTCAATGGATGGCACAACCATGCAATTTGTAGATAGAGTGTAGAAGAGAGCGTGGGGGGGGAGCGATAGAGAAAGAGAGAGAAGAAGAAAGGAAACCCTTAAGGAGAAATGTTACACAGCCTGTAAACTGGAAATAAGGAGAAAATGTAAGATAACGCCATGGGAGTTTCCCACACTGCTGCTAAGTCAGCAACCAAGTAAAAGCCCCGCCCTCTGAAAGCACCTTCTGTCTCACACATAAAGGCAGCAGATCTTCCTAAGTGTCGGGAAGACGTCATCTACAGTGACTCAGAACCCAGTGTCTCTCCCTGACATAAAACCAGAAAACAATCAAATGGTGATGAATACTTTATTTTGAAGTAAACAGGGGAGTTTGGGAGGTGTTTCCTTGTGGTCCTCCTGATCTTATTCCTCCTCCCCCATTCCATGACGGTGATCAACTGCTTTATTCCATCTCCCATCTTCCTTCTCCGATTATCCTGGTCTTTCTCTTTTTACATACATAGTCCTTATCTTTGAAGCGCAAAGGGCTTTCTACATGTTACAAAAGTTTAACAGCCTGCACTGTTCATAGCCATTAACAACACTACATAGTTCCACTTATTTGTTTGAGTTGAAGCTGTCTTGACTAGATGTCCAAACCCAGGCACGTGTTTGACTCTTCCTTCAAAAAGTCTCTTGTTAGAGATTTGTAGACATACAGATGGGAAACATCATATAAACAGTGAAAAACATCAGTTCAGAATTTTGATCCTTCTTGGTCTTCAAAAAGGCAACCAGACATCTTTCATTTAAAAAATACATACATATATGTACAATAGTATGTAGGTTTTTTTTTAATCTTAAATACTGAAGAGTTTATCTCGGATATACTGAGAACAGTCATTCAGTCTGTAAGTTACCCCCAGAACAGTTTGTTGTCTCATTCCTTAAAACAGAGTTGTTGGTTTGTTTTTTTTTTTAAGTTTAAACACTGACATAGGAAGATGCCACTATATTTGTTTATAAAAGCAGGGTATGTAGATTGTGATACACTGGTACAAAGTTTTATAATAATACAAGTAAAATATATAAATTACAATGAAATAAAAGAAGCTTGAGGTTCTGTCTTGTGGTTCCTTTAGCAGTCATATTGCTGTGAAGAAAATGAAATTTACATTAGATGATGAGTGTAAACAAATGATTAAACTTATATCAACAAGTGATTAAATTTGTGTCCTTTACATTCCTATTCAAAGCAAACATAAAATAGAATGACCTCAACTTTAGTAGCACTTTAGCCAGCCACACACTTAGAGCTTAGACAATGCTCACAAAATGTTTCCTAAATAAGCCAGACCCACTTTCCTCCTCAGCAAAGCTACAGAAAAGGTTCATGGAGACTACGACGACTGGCGCGGAGCTGGCTCGTCGTGCTGTGTTGGTGTGAGTCTTTACTCTGGAGGATTTAAAGATAATGCCATAAGAGTGTCTTGCTGCTGTGGGCTCACTGTGGGCAACCTTTCAAATTCCATGCTACTGAGTTAGGAACTACCTCTCCTACAGTAAAAGCCCTGCCCTTTATAAACATCTTTCGTTTTACACATAAAGGTAATGGATCTTCCTCCGTGTCAGGAAGAAGCCATCTCTGCAGTAGCTCAGATGAGAACCACATGCACTTGGCCCCCATTTCTCCCTGACAAAACAGAAGCAATTTGTCTACTAACTTCTTCTGCTTGTCTCCGAGATGCAGCAGTACTGAAGTCCAACAAGGAGTCCCTGAGTTTAAATTCTGTTTTGTGTGAAATTCAAGGGTAAACGTGGGTTTGCATTTAGTAATCTCTGTCCCTTCCCCCAGCTGCCTGGAAACAACTTCAAGCTGAAGTGGTCCCATTCTGCTGTTTTCTTGGAAATTTGGCAGGATTCCAAAGGAATTCTTCATCTTGCAGTACTTGCATGATGGGGAAAACCAGGCTTGTATTTTAACTTCCTCTGAAAATTTATAGGAAGCTTCTATATATTTACAGGAGAGGTTTAATGGTAACAAGAGACTTTGAGTTTCTTTTTTTAAACTCATTTTTAAGGAAAGAGACCTAGAATTAGAGGGTTAAATGGTTTGGAATGGAAAATGAAATTAAATACGTTTGTTTGCTTAATCTTATTTTGCAGAGTAAGACATAAAACAACCACCTCCCAAAACTGGACCAAAGTTTAACTTCCATCAATTCAATAATATATGTTTTTGAGAAAGATATAGAAAAAAATAACTTTCTCTGTTACAGACAAACACATATTTCTCTCCTAAATCATATCCTCAGGAAACAAGTGCTTCCTGGTTCATAGCTGCCATTCTGCTGGTTACTCTCCGTGCCTTTCTACTTAAGTATTTTTGTGACTCCTTATTAGGAAAGAACTGCAGAAAATCCATCAGAACAAGTATAGCATCTGGATTAAGAGCAAGGGCTGTAGCATAAAATAACCCAGGGATTGAAGTCGGTTCCCTCCTGACTAAGTGATCTTATCCTATTTCCCCCTTGAATCATGCACACCTGAAGAATGAGTTCAATATTACGTCTGATGCAATTAGTGTTGGTTATGATTCATACATACTTAGATGGGAACATGGTAGCAAGGAAAAAGAAGTCATCTTGGATACTCTTGAACAGCTGTCACCAGCCTGCGGAGCTAGTGGAAGAAGCCGTGGATTTGACTTGGTAGAGGCACTGTGTCGGTGGGCAATGTGTTCCTGTGCACGCAGAGCCATTGACAAACCAAGGCAAACCCGAGTCAAAATGGAATGCACTTAATGCCCAGCCACAGAGACAAAGTAAGAGTAAGTGCTGGTAGGTCAAGCCTGTCTAGTTTTGCCTTTCCTCTTTGATGAGAAGACTGTGGTAACTGAACCCTGCAGGGCTAGGCCACGACATCGGCACAAAACCTCTTACCTGTTGGTGAGAGCAGCAATACCCGCATATGCCTCCAAGCACTCCATTTATTACTTGAGTGAGACATAAGATGAATTCAATTCCACCAAGAGCCAAGAGGATAGAAAACAGAGTTACATTCCATTCCACAATATGCTTGGGCTCATGGCACTGGGACCATGTAGAGGGATCTAGAAGGTAACTGTGAACAGAAAGAGAGACTTCAGACATAAGACCATACTTAATCAGCCTACTTTTTGTTTGGTAGTTTTTATTCAGAAACACAGAAATGAATTGACACAATATTGTGTGCTGGATTCTTCTACAACATGCCATTCTGACAAAGGGAAAGTTTTAGCCCAAATCTTACTGCAATTGTCTACATACAACTCAAACACATGTTTTTTATTCTTCCTAATCTAGAATGCTGTGGTGAAAAAGCCTCACCTTAGAAAATTTTTGTATTCTCTAAAAGACATAACTTCTTATAAAGAAAAAAAAAGCAAAGCTGTATTTATACTAGGTTTAACACAAAGTAAAAATTCATGTATTTATATGGATGTGAACTAAGAGCAGAGAAGAAAAAATTAAAACAATTCATGTGGGACGGAAGCAAAATTATGAAGAATATTTTTATTCTGTTTCCTAATTTTGCGGTTGCTTAATTATGATCTATGCGAAAGGATCAAAACTGAGTAAATATTTACTTGGAAATATAATCTTTCACATTAGTTTTATTTGAGTTTTAAGATATTTAAATAATTTCATTAAGATACCAATACTTTCTCTTTTGAAAATTATCCAAAGCCTGCCAAGTTTGTGAACTCAAGCTGCTTGTATTTTCAAATGAGATCTTCGGAAAAAAGTATTTTTAATTTTTAAGAAATAATTTACAACAGCAAGTCTAAGGCTTAAGCTTAACTCCTTCTTTAATTTAATGCGGCTGCGCCCATGTCTCTATAACAACATGTAGCCCTTTATATTCATGTGTTCAACAGAGATTGTTGAGGTCTCTGTGTGAGCTCAGAGCTGAGCTAGAGCTGGGGACGTAATGATAAACAGAGAGCATGGGCTCTGTCCTTGAGCGTAGATTCTCTAAGGGAGGAGACAAGCATTGAGAATTTCAACTCCAAGTACAACAATCAAGCAAACAAAGTGTGAAAGGCCACGGAGGAAGAACACCTATCCTAGTCAAGGGAGGAGACCTGCTTATGTACCTGTTCAATGAGGCTGAGTTTCCTGGAGGCAGGACTGAAACGCACTAAGTTTTTAAAAAATATAGTCAGCAGGACAGTATCTGGTACATAGTAGGTGCTCAATATGTATTAAAAGTCAGTGAATGGGGACTGGAGAGACAGCTCCATGGTTAAGAGTGCTTGCTATTCTTACAGACAATCTGAGTTCAGTTCCTAGCACACAAGTCAAGTGGCTCACAACCACCTGTAATTCCAATTCCAAGGGATTCAAGACACCCTCTTCAGACCTCTGCAGCCACCTGTAGTCACATGCACAATCCAACACACAGGCACAAATACATACACATAGTTTAAAAAAAATTTAAAGCCATTGAATGATAAGTAACAACCTGAACTCACTCTGAAAAATCATCAAGCCATGCTAAGGTCAAATAAATTCATACGTATATGAAATAAGTTTTGTAAATATGTTCATATTTCTGCCTGTCTGCAAAAATATATATCTTGGATTACAGAGTATTTGAATGCCTAATGAAGAAGGATTTAATCACGTGGGAACATCAAGGATTGACTGAGCTCCACAGAGAGGTCTGCTACAATTCCTTATCACGTCTTCCGGCCACAGCCAAACAATGAGGCTGGAACCAAACACCTAACTCTGGAACAGTATATTGAGCCAATAAGAGATTCAACTTGTTGATTTAAAACAAAATAGGCCGCTCAAGCTTGGACAAATAATGGGCAAGGCACACAGCAGTTCAAAAAGCTGTTGAGTGCTATTCCCATCTATCCTCGCATCTCAGCTAGATGCATCATGACTGTCCTCAGAGTGGTTTCACAGAACGGTTTTGCTTGTCTGTGCATGCATGAATCATATTTTCTATTAGTACATTTTGTTCTGAGCAAAGATGAATCACAATTGATGGCAATATCGAACACCGAAACTTCCACCGCCTGTAAGTGCCAGTTTTCCCTCAGAGGTTACCATTGTATCACGTTCATTGTAAGCCTGTAGGTAACATTAACAGCTGACATCTGTAGTGCTCACAACATGTTGCCCTTTGCACATACATTGCACCTGTATCCTCTCATTAATGCTTATGAAAACTGCCATTGGTTTCATTTTACAGATGAAGGCACCGAGGGGCCGAGAAATCAGTTCACTTTATCCTGTTCTCAGAAAATGGGTACAGAGATTGGGTTGAACCAAAGTCTAAGTAATTCTAAATTTTTAATCTCTTGGAGGAAAAACTTAAATCTATATTTATATATACACATACAT